AATTATGGTATATATAAAATATATATAAAAAATATAAAATTATAGAAAATATAAACAATCGAAGCATTTGATTTTTTTTTTTTTTATTAAACAAGAACATCAGAAAATCATCTTGTCGTTTGCAACAGAAAAAAAAAGAAAAATCAAATTCTATTTTTTATCGCTTCGTATTCATTTTGAGATATCCCCTAATTTTTCTGAGCGTCGAAATTTCCATATTGAACCCTCCGAGAGAGGCGAAGAAAGACGAGAATGAAAAGCAACGAAAGGGAAGGAAAACGTGGCGACAGCCGATCGGGAAACTTGCCGGTCGCGTGAAAATTCTCCCTTAACGAGGACTTTGCGAGCCACAGAGGCGGCTGTGCCTGGTCCAGAGAGTGCATAACCCGAACGGATAATGAGAGGGCCGCAGGGTTTTCGGGGGCGCAGGGGCCGAGAGGGAGAGAGAGAGTAACGGATAGCAACGAAGCAGCCCACGTCGTCGGGGCACCTGCGGTTTGTCGGTACGTTACTGTGGTACACGATGCGGTACCGAGCCGTCAAGTTCATATTGCCGGTTTCCTGTCATTAACGTGCCGCGCGTTGAGCCTCCGTCCGTGTACACCGTTCTGTCTCTCTCTCTCTCTCTCTCTTTCTCTGCTCGGCGCGCGAGTGTTGGACAATCCGAATACAGCTGTGCAGTGATTAACAAAAATAAAATTTGGAAAATCATTGCAGGAAGATTTCGTAAATTGGAATTGGAACAAACGAGCTGCAAAAGTGGAAACTTTTGGAGTATTTTTATTGCAGTTTAAATGGTTAATCTCTCGACCACCATAGTGATTTTCGTATACGAGACAGTGGCTCGATCGAAGAAACTGATCGAGCTTCATTTTTTTTCTTTTTTTTTCTTTTTCAATTTCAGTTCATTCGAAGTTTGTTCTAACTGTTGTTTGTAATTACGTGGTAAAACACCGCTTGGATATACTATGCAAATTGTTTCGCGGCAGTTTGCCTTGTACAGGAAGCGTAGCTTGGCGAAAAATCTCGTCGTAGCTGAGAGATTAAATAGTCCGTGTTTTACACGCATTGCGTGTTCCCACTGTACTTTTGCGTGTCCATTTGCAAATCGATCGATCTGTATCGTCCTGATTGTCAAATGGAATCTTGAATTTTCGAAGGGACGTCGCAACTGGACTATTTATGCGAACGTTTTAACGTTTCTTTCTTCGAGAAACAAAATATTATTACCCCTGGATATTACTATCGACACGTAGTTCAATATTTTTCCAAATTTCGTTACTCCGCGTAATAAATACGTCCGCGAAGTCTCTCGTTTGTATTTTTAACAACGAGAGAAAAAAAGAGCGCGGATCCTCGTGCGCGTTGCAACAATGTCTGGAGCTCCGGGTACGTGAAAAACCGAATTATTAAAAGTTTGGTCGATTGCAGCCCCCCCCTCCCCCCCCCCCCTTCTCCCATCGTTTCGTGGCTGCCAGGATTAAAATTCCCCCTGGGCAAAGGTTTATCGAGGCTGAAGAATCCTCGCCGGATTTGAAATGTTAAAAAGCGAACGCGTTTGCAAACGGGAAATGAGATATCTTGGTGCCTGATGAAAGGACCATCTCTCTCTGTCTCTTTCTCTCTTTCTGGTTCGTGTATTTGCGTCCACGTGTGGTGTGCGTGCGTAATAAATAATGGAAAACGAAATGTTTCGTCGGGACGATTCGGGAAATGAAATTCCACGGTGAAGCATCGTCGAAACAACTCGAAGATTTATTATTTTTCTACCGGTGGTCGCATACTTTAATGAAAAGTGAATGAGCAGAGGAAAGGAAAGGAAGCTGCGGCCACGTATGAGAATTCTTCTCGCGGTAGATTCCTTTCTCTCTCTCTCTCTCTCTCTCTCTCAGACCTCTTTGACGTTTCGTTGCTAATATTTGCAAATATTTCTCGACTTTTCGCGCAAGATCTGACGAAATTTTCAACAATTCTACGTGTCGTTTGGTCAGTGCAAATCTTGTAACACGTTTGATAAAATTTTCACGTGTCACGCGACTTAATTATTAATTTCAACGTCGTGCCTCTGAGCTAGCTTTCATCCAAGACCAATATCTATTGCCATGGAGATAAAGTGGTCGCCGAAAGGTTCTCACCTTCGAGTACACAGTAGTTAAGGGGCACAGTGGCGCTAGTGTCGCGTCACGAACTTATCTCCCCTGTTGGTTAATCTCTTGCGCCGGAATGACGTGCCACGCACGTCGAGAATTTTTTCTCTCAAAATTACAATATTTTCTCAGTTTTAAGGATATAATAATAAATATAATATATAATAATTTATAATAGTAATAATATATAATATATATATTATTACTATTAATATATATATAATAGTAATAATATAATATATATATATATATTAGTATATTAATACATAAATATAACCCAGACAAAACAAATAATGAATTTATTACTTCTCAATAAAACTTTATCCAGCGATACGATACCGACGAGTTCAAAAAAGAAAGCGAACGAATTATACGATTTGGTCACTCGTTATGGTCCGCAGTCAGTTGCCAGCGCAAGTTGGTTGAAATCAGCAGGGTGGGAGGCGAACTGGGAATACCAGAAACATTGGAGGCGCAAAACAGCCCTCGCTGGAGCTTAGACGTTGCGTTCCCGGATAGATTTTAGCCATAGGTCGAGGAATTGGACGAGCTGTCACGGTGTTCGGCGTTCGCGGCACAGCCAGATTGAATCCAGGAAACGTTTACCAAGGACTCGCAGTGTTCGACTCGGTCCAAAGATTCTGGCAATTAGTGGCAGGAGGTTCTAAGGGCTGGCGGGGAGGTTTCGTGGGAGGAGGGCGAGATCTCGAATTCAAATGTCGTCGTCACGGGTTTTGGCACGGTGACAGATTCCAGTTATCAGGACTTCAAACGTGCCACCCTGCTTCCCTCTCCCTCCCCCCTCCTTTAATTCGAGTTTCGATTTTGCTGCGCAGCGATTGGCAGCCTTGCGCCAACAATTTATCGCCCCGATTACCGGCCAATTTCGTTTTTTGTTCCGTTTATAATTGCCTCGTCGACGAGTTTTTAATAATTTCCTGGAAGAAGATAGTTTGTCATGTCGTGAGAGATATCTGTTGTTTTTTTTTTTTTTTTTTTTTTAATTAAGATTGAAAATTTACACCTCTTAATTGAATCTGCATCCCTTGAAAATTTCAGAATCTGGAATTCTAGCTTTAACACCGGAACTGGCAAAATTTATGGAAATTCTATATATTGATAACAGTATATTTTCAGATATTTCAAGTGATTTTTAATAAAATACAGATACTCGGAAAAAGTGATTTTTAACAATATTAACAGAAGCTTATGTTCTTTATTGCATCATTAACTTGTACCTTGCGTTTTAATTTCCTTACTACGAATATTATAGCTTTATAATATATAATCTTGTTATATTTAATTATTATATATTCTTTCATCTTCAAAATTATCACGTCGAGCATTCGAGGCTATCAATTACGAAACTTCAGCTAGAATTGCGCGCACGTGTTTTCTCTGCGTAAGGTGACGCGTTACGATTGATTGGTATTAAATTCGCTGAAGAACGAAACGTTGACAGCAACAAGTGAGCACGAGGCAAAAGCGAAAGACCCGCAAGTGTTTGTGAAAAAGAGATCGGGAGAACTCGCCGAGCTCTTTAAATTCTCCGGCCCGATTCTGATTGCCCCCGGGGGCAATTTCCTTAGTGAATACGGACGAGCACGAGAATTGGAGGCCGGAATCGGGCCTTTTCACTGCACCCTCTTGTGCAACCATAACCGACAGGGACAAGCTTTATTGAAGCTGCGCCTGCAGACTGGCCGGCGGACCCTTTGAGAATGAAAATCCGACCGGTTCGAAATTTCTTTGAAAGTGAATCCCTCGCTGGCTCCGCGAATTTTTAGTTATCCTCCCTCCCGCTTTATTAAAGCCCTTCTTCTTGAAACCTTCCTTTATCCACGGCTCTCTCTCTCTCTCTCTCTCTCTCTCCTTTTTGCTCTTGCTTTTCTCTTCTTCTTTGCTGGAATTTCTGTAGACTCTCATCTGGAAGAATCGTAGACTTAACTCTCAATATTACCCAATTGCTCGTGTCTCGTGAGGTTCTCTTCGAATACTCTTCGGAGAACGAGAGAAATTGAATTTCGTTTTTTTTTTTTTTTTTTTTTTTTNAATTTCGTTTTTTCTTTTTTTTTTTTTTTGCTCGTGCGTAAAGC